GCCAGAATGCACATGAGAGGTGTGTTCTTAACTCTTAATTCTCCTTACATTAGACATATAAAATAAAGTAAAAATAAGCAAATAAAGGACATCCTTCATTTATTGTAATTGTTCCACTACATTCTAATCATCTGTTAAACCAAATCCATCTCCTGCTCCACCAAGAGTTTCTTTAGAGCATGGTTGTTAATGTTGCTAATCAATCTTTGCATTTCCAGCATCTAACATGAACAGAGCACACAATAGGTGCTCATTAATTGCTTATTGAATGAATGAAAGTTATCTCCATGTCATGATTCTATTTGAAACATTTTCACTTAACTGAGTATTATTTCATTTAACTTAGGCTATAATTTTATAAGTAGTATCTATTATTGAATATTAAATTACTTATTCACAGCAATTCTAAATTTCCCTTTAGTGAAGGTAAACATAAGTAAAGTAAATAAGCAAAACATTAAGGATCAAGGTAAATGTGAGGGAAGTCTGCACAACATGTTCCCAAACCACTGCTGTCCACTAGTGACTATTAAAAGTTAACTATTCTTTCCAAAAAAATTAACCCACAAATATTCATCATTATGTGTTACATAATAGGTATTAGAAAAGCATTTGTTTGTAGATTACCTAATTAATTCTGAGGTCCATTATGACAGAAAAATAAATTGCATGCTTATCAGTGCAGTTTTCCACAAGTTTTCAAACTGGAAGACCAACTCATATTGAACTCACCCTTTGATTTTTACCAACATCTACATTATTTTCAAACTGTATGTTTGTAATGATAAATATAGATTGCCAAGTGATAACTCTGGTATATATTTTTAAAACCTTCAAAGACAGAATAAATATAGCAATAATAGTTTTTTTTGTATCCACTATTTAGAGAAAAGTTTAAAATTGAAGACATACAATGTATGTAGAATAAGAAGATCTATACTATTACTAAATACAGCCTCTTGTGCAAAGGCACATAATTCAATTCCTGTTCCTTTCTTATATGGATGCAACCAATATTTTTGGTCTTCATTTTTAATAAATTAATACATAGGTTTTCAAGTCAAAATTATGAATGACTTTTTCCTTTAACAATACAATGTTACTGGGAGTCATAGCAGTAATAGCTTTCCTCCCCTCTCTATGTCCTTCTCTCAATGAATTAAAGACTCATTCAAAATTGATATGGAATACAAAAGAAAAATAAGTATTTATTCAGTACTATGGCTATAAATGATATTATTAACAAAATTTTCTGCTCCGGATTACCTTGTGAACCAAATTGGAAAGGATAATTTTTGGTTATAAATAAATATTAAATTGATATGGAATACAAAAGAAAAATAAGTATTTATTCAGTACTATGGCTATAAATGATATCATTAACAAAATTTTCTGCTCCAGATTACCTTGTGAACCAAATTGGAAAGGATAATTTTTGGTTATAAATAAATATTGGTAGTGTGAAGAAATAAGGGTTTAATATTTTCAGCTAGGGTAACTGTCTATAATAATTTGACAGCAGACATAATCTATATAAATTTTGACATGGATTTGTCCCTGGATGCACTCCTGTTTGTTTTTGTCTATAATGGCAGATTAATTGATCCAATCTCATTAAAAAAGATTCATCAAGTGAGCATCATTGATTGCCAAAGACATAATTTTACAAAATTTACACTTATGAAGCTTAAAATGGCTTAGTATTTTGATTGCCTTCATTAACCGAGAGTCTAGCATTGGTTAGCAGAAGAGAAGCCTTTCCAACATTTTTAAAGAGAATTTTACAAAAATTGTCTTTTCCTTATTGATTCCTACAAATAACGTATCGGCTTTGTCGCTTATAAAGGAGTGAAAAATAATTCTTAAAGAGAGCTATTTCAAGTTAATATTTAACTATTCAGAGGTATATTTGTATAAATAAAAAATAGCTATAAAATTTGAACTGCAGAATTTTTAGATATTTCTGTTTTATTTTCTTTAGTGCACATTAAAACAAAATTGGCCACAAAAAAAGAGTGAAAATGAGATCAATAACATATGACTTCTCTGACCTCTCTACTTACCTCATTACTTTACTTTGTTTCCTGAAACAATCATGTTCAACAAAGATTACTAGCACAACTAAACCCCTGTAGAAAAATAGAAGGGAGTATACTCTCGTACCCCCAAATTATCTGCTAGTACTAATTCAACTAATTGATAAGCTATTTAATTGTGCACAAAAATAATTCATATTATAGAAAAGTTGGAAATGCAGGAAAATACAAGGAAGGACATACAAATCTCCAGTAATCTTATAATCAAGAATCATAACCATCTTTATTTGACATATTTCCTTTTGCTTATTTTCTCAGTGATTATATGCATATAATAATTTTTTGTTGCAAAATTGCTATTACGTAGTTTATAGATTTTTGTATTATGTTTTAAAATGAAAACACTTTCACAAACCTTTTACCATGTCCATGTATCTTATGTAAAAGGCTCACTTAAAAATGATGGTCTCAGGCCGGCCCGGTGGTGCACTGCACTGGTGCGCTTCTTGGGAAGCGCGGAGGCGCTCCCGCCGAGGGTTCGGATCCCACATACAGACCGGTTCCCGCTCACTGGCTGAGAGAGGCGTGGGGGCAACACCGAGGGTTGCGATCCCGTTGCCGGTCCCGGTCCGGTACGGGGGCGACACTGAGGGTTGCGATCCGTTGCCAGACACACAAAAAGACAAAAAAAAAAAAAAAAAAATGATGGTCTCAGTATTATAACGTATCACTGTAACATAGTTTTATTTATCCTCCTCCCAGAGAAGGAAATCACGTGGTGAATATTGATAGTTGTTGTATATATGACCATGAATGGATTTCTTGATAGAAAGGCAAGAGAAATAAATGTGTACAAAATCTGGCCTTCCCGGTAAGAATGACTGTAGAAATGACCTTAATGGTGAAGAGTAATAAATTTACTGTTCAGGCCTCCCAAGAAACTAAGATTGTACCAAGAGAAGGTGAAATCATATTGAGAAGACTATGTTTATATCATAACTCACTTTTTTGAAATTCAGTAATTCCTGAAAAGAGCTCTACAAAATCAGATGAATTTAATATGTGAGGTCCATTAATGGGTATTAAATGAGATAAAAACAAATGAAAGACAATTGATCTCTTTTCTCAGATTTCACAGTCTAGCAGGGGAAGCAAGACTTAAACCATTAACACTTTAAAAGCAGGGCACAATTTAATGGTAACCAATTTTTCCTAGGTCAATAAATTCAATGTTAAAAAAAATTAAAAATTGTGAAACATGATGCATGCTTAGAGACCTAGAAGGCAGTGGGTGTTGGAATTCCAGTCTACAGTCTCTCCTTATTTCATTCAGAACTGCCTCAAATGTATTATCAAATGAACACTTTACTCCTGCTCTGTACTAACATTTTCTAATCTAATCACAACCCTACCAAGTCACTGCTTTTATGCCATTTTCTATCCTTAAATGTCACCCAATTTGGTATGAGTTAAGCTTCTCTAACCGCTGTGTTATGAAAGTATCTTTAATTTGCAAAATTAGATATTTATATTTATTAAGAAATAATCAAGGTAGGTATTCACTGTCTTTATCATAACCATTCATTCATGCAGGCAAGTAATGTTTATTGAGTTCCTTCTCAAGACACTGTGTTGTACACTAATACCTTGAAGCAGCCATTCTCAGAGGGGAGATAAATATTAAATAACCAATTACACAATTATTTATTCATTATCAGTTTATTTAAGTTCTTGGGGAGATAAATATTAAATAACCAATTACACAATTATTTATTCATTATCAGTTTATTTAAGTGCTACAACAACAACAACAACAACAACAACAACAACAACAACAACAACAACAACAACAACAACAACAACAACAACAACAACAACAACAAAAAAGTACATGGTGATGCTACCAGAGCATTTATCAGAGGGGAATGACCTGGTCAAGAGTGAAGGAATGATGAGGCATTGTCATACTTTAGGACTAAAATACACACACACACACACACACACACACACACACACACACACTGATTTTGGAGTGTTTACCTCTTCTAACCAATTTAAATATGCATTAGATTAGCTTCAAAATGCCAATTACAAAGAATGAATAATAATAAACAGCTTTTATTGGCGATAAAAAGTTTTTAATAAGAGTCACATTTGACAAAATGTTTTGGCAAAATCAAGCAATTTGTTTAGGTTTTGAATGAATCATTTCAGGAAGATGTTTTACATTTACTATGTTTTTATTCTTATTTGTTGAAAAATAAAATCTTAATGTAAAGATGATGGAAATGTTTTGAATTATATCATTCTCTACCTACCTCAGAAAAAACTAAATTCAAGTGTTACATAATATTTCCCAGGTGTCAATGAGACACATGTTTTTTTTTCCTTTCTGATTATAGTATCTTTGGAGAAAAAATTCCCATTTACATTTTAAAAATTTTAAATGTAATAACTACATCAGAGTATACCTCATGAATTGAAAAGCTCATTCTGTATGAAAGAAGGAGGCAGGCAATGGAGACAAAATAGCAAGTTATTTTCACTCATTTTATTAAGAATGTCTTACAAATAGTATTTCATTATTTTCAAAATAAATTATTATATTTATTTTTCATTCAGGGATTTTCTTCTTAGAAATTTTATATTCTTTTTGGAAATTTTTGTTTTGCAGTAGAAGACAGTTTGGCCTAGGGTTAAAGAATTTAAGTACTGTACGAGTATAATCACGCAGCTATTTATTGGTTGGTAACAGAAATTCAAAGGATATAGTTTTATAACAGAGTTCAATGCATATTACTCTTAACATCTACAGCTAAATCTTCTTTACAGAAAATTCTCAATGTCTTGATGTAAAATCTATCTTGATACAATAGCAGTATTCAATTTTGGCAACTTAATATGCATAATTTAAGCATCCATTATTTGAAAGTTACATAGATTATTATCATTAAATATTTGTAGCAATTGGTTTGGATTCCTGTCCTGAACCACAAACACCTAGCAGTGGAATTAAAATCGGAGACAGATATATGGTTGGTGATGTGGTTTCCTTCCAGTGTGATCAAGGCTATTCTCTTCAGGTAAGTCTGTTTTAAAATTACAGTTTTGATTTTCACTGCCCTTTCAGAATATTTTAACAGATCAATGATTGATAATCCACATGTTTTACAACAATATTGATCTTGGCCTGCACAGTTTAGCCTTAAGCCAAAAGGATATTCAATTTGTTAATAGAATATAAGCATGAGAGAAATTGCTGGAATTAACTAAATTAGTTTTGTTTGGAAGTAACCAAAAATGATTTTTGAATCAAAATTAATTTTTACTTCACTGTTGTCCCTATGTACACAGAATTTTGACAATTAAACCTCTGGATTTTTAGAATTAAAAAAAAAAATGAAGTGCCGCATAATGCATTAAGTGAAACATTCCATGATAATAAATTCTCCAAATTAGTGAAAATTCACTAAATATATTTTGCTAAGGAAGTGGATTCACAATGTATATTCTGATTTTATGTATATATATTGATCCTCTTTTGAAGGTTTTTTTTGAGGGTCTCAAGTTCATGGTCTCATAAAAATCTTTCTAAAGAATAGTCCAATTAAAAAATTAAGAAAAAATATTGAGGGAGAAACTATTTTACATGTTAATGTAACGTCTTTTTTTTGGGGGGGTCTCAAGTTCATGGTCTCATAAAAATCTTTCTAAAGAATAGTTCAATTAAAAAATTAAGAAAAAATATTGAGGGAGAAACTATTTTACATGTTAATGTAACGTCTTTAACCTATTTCACCTTTAATATTATAGCAATTGATTATAAACACTATGCATATGGCCTTTTCACTTGTATGATCATTGCAGTATCTTATTAGAACATTTTTTGATAGGACAATAACAAAAAACACAATTTTAATATGATATGGTCTTATTCCCCCCCCAGGACTCTGTAATTTCTACATTTGCCACAAGTATATATAATTACCTTTTTTTTTATTTTTAGTCATAATAAGATTACCAGTAAAAGTGAATATATATATATATAATGACAATACATATTTAAGCTTGTTTTTGTAATAATCATTCACCATACTTATATGGCCTTTTCACTTGTATGATCATTGCAGTATCTTATTAGAACATTTTTTGATAGGACAATAACAAAAACCACAATTTTAATATGATATGGTCTTATTCCCCCCCCCAGGACTCTGTAATTTCTACATTTGCCACAAGTATATATAATTACCTTTTTTTTTTATTTTTAGTCATAATAAGATTACCAGTAAAAGTGAATATATATATATAATGACAATACATATTTAAGCTTGTTTTTGTAATAATCATTCACCATACTATATTTAATTTAGACTTTTTATAAATGCGTACTGACCTGCATTGTCTTATTTATATAGGGTCATTCTCACATAACATGTATGCCTGGACCAGTAAGAAGATGGAATTATCCAATCCCCATTTGTTTGGGTAAGTTAAGAGACTCTAAATCATGCAAGTTTCATCAAATTTTGAAGGTACACCCTGTATATAATGTATATAAATAGACCCTTGTCTTTTTCCAGGTCTTATGGCAATGATATTTTGAGATAAATATTTTACATCTTTGTAAAAATTTTTAATTACAAATTTTTACTTTAAACTTTAATATCAATGTATGACTTTAAACTGTAGAAATTGAAAGTACTAGATTTTTTTATTTCTAGAGAATTTTCTCAGTATTAAATGATAAAAATACCCGTAAATTAGAAAAATGAGTAAATATTCTATTGCATATTATTGAGCCAGAATAGATAAGGAATCTGAAAAAAATCTACCAAAGGGAAAGACACCCTATGAGATGTCTTCAGTGGTGACAGGCAATCAAGGTACAGAATATGTCAAAAGGTACTTTAAAAGTATTGTCCCAAGTTTTTACCCTATCATAGTGCTGCTTTCAAATTATTTCTATTCACTCTTTAATTTTTTTCTCTTCCTCATTTTTGTTGTCTGTATGCAACCATTAATATACTGGTCCTGCAGAATATGAAAAAGCAATGTGAGGTATGATCCCTGTCTTTAAAGCATACATTAGCATTTAAAGTGGTATAAATACAAGCAATGAATTGATTACAGAATGATTAAATTATACTGTTAACTACATAAGCAAATTTCAGAAAAGTGAGACTGGTGTTGACTGAAGTCACTGGGAAAAAGTCAGCTAATAAGGTTTACACAGAATTTTGGGTAGTATGTGTAAATAAGGCATATGGATGCAGACAGCCCTTTCTGGGTGGAATAAAGAACACAGACAAGGGCTGGCCCTGTGGCTCACTCGGGAGAGTGCGGCGCTGGGAGTGCCGCGGGTTCGGATCCTATGTGGGGATGGCTGGTGCACTCACTGGCTGAGCGCGGTGGACACCAAGCCAAGGGTTACGATCCCCTTACCGGTCACAAAAAAACAAAACAAAACACACAAACAAAAAAATTTCATGACTTGTGTGAATTACCTCCATACAATGACCATTCCTGTATTGTTTTGGTCAGCTTGGCTGCCATAACAGAATTCTTCAGACTAAGTGGCTTAAACTATGGAAATTTATTTTCTCACAGTTCTGGAAGCTAGAATTCCAAGAACAAAGTGCTGGCAGGTTGTTTTCTTATAAAGGCCTTTCTCCTTGGCTTGTAGATAGTATGTCCTCCCTGTGTCTTCACATGTTCTCTTCTCTGTGCACCCACACTCCTTATGTCTCTTCCTCTTCTTATGAGGACACCAGTCTTATTGAACTAGGGCCTTATACTTATGACCTCATTTAACCTTAATTAACTTCTTATGTAGTTATTTCCTTTTTGTTAGAGTTTCATTTTTTGTTACTTGATATTATAAATAACACAATTATAAGTATTTTTCATATGACTTCATTATGAACATACCTCGTATTTCATTATAGCATACTTCTTACTGTTTGCTTAGAATTTTACCTAAGTAGATTAATTATGTCACTGGATATAATTGTTTAAAACCTTTCATAAATATTGTCAAATTGCTTTAAGAAGGTGGTACCAATTTAAATATAACCTCACTATTATATGACAGTTTTCATCTTGTTATATTGCCTGAATCAATTATTATTCTTAAAAAAATTACTAATATTTTTGGTAAAGTATTGCATTTTGATTAACTACGCATTTCCATTGTATACTGTTGACAAGACAAATATTAAATGGAAGTGATATTTTAATAAAATTAAACTAAAATTTTGTTTTATTATGTAGGATGAATTGTTATAAAACCACCAGGAATATTTATCAGATTTTGATGTCCAATAGATGTATATTCAAATTTCAGCTTGAGGTACAATTGCTATGTATGGAAAATGTATTATTCCTTGAGTTTCTGTTTTCTTACCTATTAAATGGGATAATAATATTTGCCTTACAGGTATATTGTGAGGATTAAGTGAAAGAACGTGTTGAAAGTGTTTAGCCTTGGACCTGGAACACATGAGAGACACTCAGAGTGATAGCTAGTATAGTGAAAATCAAGCAATAACCTAAGGGTCCAAAAATAAGGAATACACTTGCAATAAAACCCCACATGAACATTATAATGGAATATTTAATAAGATGGACAATGTTTACAATTTCTAGTTAAATATAAAAACAATTCACAGTATGATCTTATTTTTATCATATGCATATGTATATGGTATTTAAATTGGTACCACTTTCTGAAAGCAATTCGGCAATAGTTATTAAAGCTTTTAAACAGTTATATCCAGTGACATGATTAACATACTTAGGTAAAATTCTAAGCAAATGGTAAGAGGTATGCTTTAATGAAATATGTATATATGTGTGTGTGTATACTGTAGATATGTATGCAAAAAAATGTATATACATATATACATATGTTTGTGTGCACATAGTGCTTTCATGAGGCTTTTTTTTTGTATGCAGAAAAAAAGGATCCGAACAGATTGTATGTGGGTGGTGGAATTAGAGGGTATTTTTATTTCCTTTTTACTCTTTCTGTATTTCACAAATTTTGAACAATAAGCTTGTACTACAATTGGTAGAAAATAAAAATATTTGAAGTGATGCAATGGCCATATTGTTAGGAAAAACTGAAGGCGAGAGGCTGATTCCGACAGTGTCTTAAAACACTAGTTATCAGGCAACAAGGCTACAGCCCTGTGAACTGGAAAATAAGCCATCTGCCAGATATTCTGATGGAAGAAAGAAGAATTTATATGAGATTTTGTATATTAGAGAAAAATAAGAAAGAAGAAACATAGGTGATCTTATTTTGAAGAACTAAGGTATGTTTGGGTCCCTAACAACAGAATTGTCATTCAAGGCATAGGAGAGTGTGAGACTGCAGAGGAAATGAGGAAACAGCCGTGAATGCATTGCTGAAGGCAGATGCATTTTTTGGTGTCCTTATTCATATGTCTTTCATAATTTGCCATTCTTTTTCTTCGTTCTTCATTATCTGTTTACTCTTTATTCTCTTTCTTTCTTCCTCCTTTGATTTTGGGATTTTCACTCTGAAAGGAGGGATGGGCAATGCAGAGGACTGAATTTTCAGATCATATCAAAAGAGATGGAAAGTAGAGGAATTAGGACAATGAGCAGCTCAAAGACTTGGAAATGCGGGGCAAGAAAGTAAAGGTCAGATAAAGCAAAACAAAACTACAAATGCAGTCTTGCCAGAAACAAAATCAAAAATATTTTGATTTACAAAATTAGAAATATTTTGATTTTCAAAGTATTTTCTTTACAACTGATTATCAGATTTTGTGATAAATATATGTACAAAGTTAAATTTTAGAAAAATAACTTGATGAACATTAATAAGGGATATATGTTGAAAACTCCTTTGGTTTTAAGGATGGATGAACTGAGATTTCAGAAGGATGGAAAAGTATAGAGGTGTATCTTTAAAGCTTGGTGAGAATCACAAGTCTGAAAGAAAGGTTTATATGCAGGTTGACTCCAAGATCATATGTATTTCCCTAGTAAAATCTGCTTGATACATAATTTATTCAGTTCACATAGTAAAAGGTAGCTGTCAGACTGGTTATTTAATATTGTACAGAACACTGCTAAAATTCCTACTGAATTTTCCTTTATTCCACATAACCTGAAGTTTGAGTATTTATCTGTTGCTACTCTTAACAAGAAATAAATTAATGAATTTGCAAATAAGTGTTCTGTACAGGTAAGTTCTGAACTTGATTTGCAGTCATAAAATTTGATTCTTTACCCAACCATTAACAGACATGCATTTACAGTCCTTTTAAGAGAAATGATAAAAATGTACATTCAGGGGAAAGAATGGTCTTCTAAAATACAATTGCTCTCTGTATTCTAAAATACAAAGAAAATGAGTAATTTTCTGTTTTTATAATTTTTCCTTACCTTATCAATAACAGGGATAATAGGAATTCTGAAGCAAGCACAATTATAAATTCTGCCTAAATTCTCAAATTTGCATGCATCTTTTTACTTATTTATATTCAAATTTTTGTCTGGATTCTTTTAGGATAAAATAAGGTCGTCTCTCATGTGTGATATATGAATCCCTCACATATTACAAATGGAAACCAATATTTTTCTTAAAATTCTTTATTCAGCCTTCTCACAAAAAAATGGAAAAGAAGGAAGGTTGTAAAAATTATACCCTCTTTAGTACTTAGAGCTGAAATAGTTGGCTTGACTTTACTCTAGATTATATCATCTTTGGAATGATTGAAACATCACTAGAAAAATTGAGGAAGAGAAATAAACTGCCTACTATGGAAAAAGACGTGACTTCTTTTTTTGATTGTATTAACTGCATGTGAGCTGTTACTTGCTGTGCAATAATTGATTACCTTGCAATTATTTCTAGGAAGGAAGATGTCTTTCCTCTACTGTTTTAGAAAATGTATTGCCAATTGACTATACTTTTTGATTACTAGTGTATTGTGAACGAGAGTTAACTGTTCAAATTTATGTCAGTTTTAACTCAGAGACTTGATGAAAACTTGAAATTATTTCAGTATGTCTTTAATACAGCAAGTTATTGCACTACTCTGGTTTACATGGAACCTCTATTATTTTGCAGCTCAGTGTGGTGGTGCTATGTCAGATTTCAGTGGTGTGATCCTCAGTCCTGGGTTTCCTGGAAACTACCCCAGCAGTTTAGATTGTACATGGACAATAAAGCTGCCCATAGGTTTTGGTATGTATATTAAACACATGAAAGAGCTTTTGATATTTATTAATGTATCCTTAAGAAGGATTATCAATGTCTAATAAGAAATTTTAAAATATTCACAAATTACAGTTTAGTTTTGGAGTATATACTATTATGAAAAAGTGAAATTTGAATAATTATTGCTTAAGCCAAACACATTTCGCTGGGAGTACTTGGATAATTGAAAGCATATGGGTGTTTTTTTTTCTAATTTATTTATTATTTTTAATTGACAGATAAAAGTTATATGTATTTTTAGTATATGAGAGATGTTTTGAAATATTTATACATTGTGAAATGGCTAAATTAACCTATTTAACATGCATTACTTCACATAGTTATTTTTTGTAGTGAGATCACTTACAATCTCTCTTAGCAACTTTCAAAATCACAATACATTAACTATAGTCACCATATTGTACAATATAACTCTTGAACTTGTTTCTCCTGTCAACTAAAACTTTGTACACTTTGACCGACGTCTCTCAGTCCCCCCACTCCCACCCCCTACCCCAGCCTCTTATAACCACCGTTCATCTCTCTACTTCCATGAGTTCAGCTTTTTTAGATTCCACATATGATTGGCATCATGTGGTATTTGTCTTCTGTATGCCTGGCTTATTTCATCTAACGTAATGTTCTCCAGGTTCATCCCTGTTATTGTAAATGACAGGATTTCCTTCTTTTTTTTTTTTCCTTTTTGTCTTTTTTCGTGTCCGGCAACGGACCGCAACCCTCAGTGTCGCGCCCGCACCGGACTGGGACTGGCAACGGGATCGCAACCCTCGGTGCTGCACCCGCCCCTCGCTCAGCCAGTGAGCGGGAACCGGTCTGTATGTGGGATCCGAATCCTCGGCGGGAGCGCCGCCGCGCTCCCAAGCCGTGCACTGTAGCAGTACGCCACTGGGCCGACCCAGGATTTCCTTCTTTTTTAAGGCTGAATAGTATGCCACTGTATATGTATACCACATTTTTAAATTTATTCATCCATTGATGGATACTTAGGTTGATTCCATATCTTGGCTGTTTGAGTAATGCTGCAATGAATATAGGAGTGCAAATATCTCTTTGACATATGATTCCATTTCCTTTGGATATATACCCTGTACACATATATGCACATATATATCCTTTTGATGTATATGCTGGAACATATGGTAGTTCTATTTTTAAATTTCGAGTAATCTCCATACTATTTTCTACAATGGCTATAATAATTTATATTCGCATGAAACATGTGCAGGGGCATTTTGTAATTAACTAGATTAACATATAAATATAGATAGGTTGATTATGATATTTACTGTTCATATATATAGATATAGCCTGAGTTAGATATTTGTAGCAATAATAAATTTCATGTATAATTGTTTTTTAACTCTTGTTGCTATAATGAAGTAGTACATACATAAATTATTTTCTGGAAGTCTACTGAATCCATTCCATTTTCTTTGTTAATAAATCAGATTTTACAGATGAAAATGGTACACATTTCTATTGTTACTTTCAAGTACTTATATAGACCTAATATCTTCCCAAGTCTAATATGATACAATTCTCAGTGTTTGGGATATACTAATTTTACATTATATACATATACATATATATATATTGCACTTAGTTAATTATTTTTATCCTTATATCACCAACATGTTCTCTTACAGCTTTCTTAGATTCTGTGAATTTGTAAATGCACAGAAAGAAGCACTAGACTAAGGTTAGAATTGTTCATTAAATTACACTAGACTAGGATGATTAGACCCTCATTGAAGCACAAACCAGTTGGATTTAGAACAATTAAAAAAATTCTGAACTATCTCCCTTATTGAGGACTGAACTTAGGTATCTTACTACCTAATATGTATATACAGCCTCATATTATTAATACATTTTAGATGTTTTACATAAATTAACAGATAACTCAGAGTTTTCACAATTGTTTACTGAATATATATTATACTCCAGATACTGTGCTAAATGCTAGAGATAAAATATATGATAAAACAGACTTTGTACTTTTCTGCAAATAAATCACAGTCAGTTACGAGATAGTAAAATGTGCTATTACAATAAAGTGTAATAAGAGAGTATAGAATTGTACTTATAACAGACATTAGCTTACTACTGGAAATACAGAAACATCTTTCCAAGGAAGTAATCCCTGAACTATGGTTTTATTTTATTTTTTTAAATTTTAATTTATCAATATACAATACAGTATGAACTATGGTTTTAAAGGCAAGTAACAGCCAGCCCAACAAAGAGGGTCAGCGTGTAAGGAACATGAAAGAAATTCTAGGTAAACAGAGTAACACATGGAAAGATGCCGTTGAGAAAGCTAAAGAAATTCAATAATCCTGGACACTGTGGCCTGAGGTTTTGGAAGAACAGGAGACTACTGAGAGAGAATTCTGGGAGACCTTCTAATGAGGATCATTTTGGTTACAACATGGAATCCCTAAGATTGAAGTGGTAGTTAAATTCTATGTCCATTGACAAAAAGAGAGTACTGATGTAAATGAAAAATATATTTGAATAAATATATAGATTTTAAAAATAGATTTGAATGATATTCTATCTGTCTTTGATTAAACACTTAGACCTCTTCCCATGTTGCTTATGGAGCTAAACAAATTATTTTAAAATAAATTATTAAAACTATTTTTATAGTGTCAATGTCATATCATCTTCAACTTACCAATTGCTAATATTTCTTGATTTTAAAAACCAAAAGAGAAGAATATACATCTTTAGTTTAGAAATGAAAACATAAGAGACTGTTTCTTATTTGATTACAATTAAGTAATCTCACTCTTTTCTTTGAGTTTTGGTTAAATAAAATATTAGGTCTAGTGTATTCAAAAAAGTATATTTTTTGAAAAGAAGAATGAGTACAACTCAATAGTTAAAAAAAGTATTTCTTCAGGTGTATGAAACAATTATTAACAAGGTGATTTGTAAAATGAGGGATATTGGGTAAATTTTACTAAAAATATGCCCATCTTAGAACCTCACATATTAAGGTAACAAGTCCAAAGTTCTAAGAAATTAATCTGACTTTACAGAAACTTGTTTAATATTTTAAAGCATATTTTTAATATTTCCTTTTTATTTATTTATGGATTTTTTAATTATTTAGTAATAAAATACAACTCACTTGGGAGTCCCAGTATAGTTATTAATAGCAAAAGTTTGAGTCAGAATGTGTGAGTGTGCATTTCAGATCTACTAGGTAACTGTGTAAATTTGGCATGTTTTGCTTTGCTGTGCCTCAGTTTTCTCATTCTCTTAGTAACTATGAGCATCAAATAAGTTAGCATTTATAAATCATTTAAAACAGTGTCTAATAAGAGGAAACAATAAATGTCAGATTTTATTATTAACAATTTGGAGAATGGCAGTAGTAAGAACAACATCAAATTCACTAAAATTGAATATTAAGTGAATTAAGTAAACATACTTTTATTATTCTATCCCAGAGACATTTCGCTGTCTCATATTTTAATCATGCTTATAATGATGATGAGACTACGTTGCAATATGACCACATATAACAATGATGACTAGATTTTATTGAGACTATTACATAAAATTCATCATTATCTTCTGACAAGCAAACACTAAAAGAGCACACTTGTAAATTATACAAAATAAATAATATTTTTGAGAAGTTAATTTATATCCTATAAATGAATAATATTTAATGCAATTGTGGAATATGATTATGTTAATATATGAAAAAGTCTGCAGTCACTTTTGACCTCAAATTGGCCTTTTACATAATACAAACTATTTTTGTGTGTTTTTCGGGTTTTGGTTTTTTTCCTTTTTTTTTTTTTGGCAGCTGGTAGGTACAGGGATTGAACCCTTGTCCTTGGTGTTATCAGCACCATGCTCTAAACATCTGAGTTAATCAGCCATCCCTCATATTACAAATTAAGTGGGTTTCTACATTCGAAAAATTGGTCGATATAATTTTAAATGGTACTAAAGAACATGAAAGCTACTTTCTTGATCAGTTTTAGCATGGTAACATTATAACACACTGATAGAGATTTTTACTTGTAACTAATTGTGGACTTTTGAGAGCAGCATTCTTTTACTTTGAACCTTAGCAAAGCTAATTGTCCTGGACAGACAGCAAAGCCATGGCCCAGCCCTTGAGAGTATACCCCTAATATTAATGGAAACATATCTAAGTGCATTGATGTGATTGCCTGTGTGTGTTTATGTTTAATTTGGTAAAAAGGTAAAGTAGCATTGTTTGTTTTTTCTTCCTTAGGTGTACATCTCCAGTTCGTAAATTTTTCTACTGAAACCATACATGATTATTTGGAAGTAAGAAGTGGATCCTCAGAAACTAGTACTGTTATTGGTCGGCTTAGTGGTCCTCAAATACCATCTTCCCTATTTAGCACGACTCATGAAACCAGCTTATATTTTCACAGTGACTATTCACAAAACAAACAAGGGTTTCATATTGTATATCAAGGTGAGAGGAATAATTAAAAGTGAAAGCTTATTTAACCCCAAATCAGATATTAGAAATATTTAACTAAATCTTAATATTTTCTATATTCTGTTTTAGAAACAGAGAGAAAGTTAAACCAAGTCAAGCTTCAATTAGGAAGAGTTTCTTCTTTTATTGCATTTATGTAGTTGAACTAATGGCATTTTAAAGAAATAGGTTAATTTATATAGATTCACAGAGTCAACATTATTTTGGGTTGATTTTGTAGTTAGACTTTAAGAACTTTTGAATTTTAGAAAAATACATAGTAAGCAATTAAGTTTATACTTCTACAGAAAACTAGTGTTATTACTGGCAACAGTATTAGGCTTGTTGAGTCCTGTGTAGAATATTATAGTAAAATGGGAACTTTTCTCCTGAACATTTAGTACTTATTTTCTATACTTCCTTATTAAACCAAAAAGCATATAAGGGTAAAATATTGTATAAATTATCACGAAATTATACATTTGTCTATGAGTCCTGTCCTATTCAAAATTGTCTGTTAAATATGAGTGAAAATTAAAGGGTTTATTAAACAAAATAACATATTCCAACTCCTGATGATCAAATGATACACATTTGCCTTAAGCTGGAATGAGAACTATATTGTTTTTTTTTATATTTTTTGTGTGGAATATTAATTTAAATGAAAATGTCAGATTAAGAATAAATGCACTTAACATTTTAAAAGAATTTGTTCATAATTCTGTAATCTAGTTGTAAAAATTGGATTCTATTGTAATAAACAACATGATAGTTTATTCAATTTCATATTTTTTTGATTTGGGGAAAATAGAATTGTAATGGTCATTAGTAAAGTAGTTTCTAATTCTGAGCAGTTTAAATTTTATTTGTTAGAATTTAATTTTAAACTTCTTAATAATAAAGTTCCAAATATCTGTATTATATGAGTTATACCCTGTTCATAAGTTCAAAATTCGTTCAGCATTGTTTATTAAGCATCTTCTATGTGAAAGGCAATGGGCAAATGTTTTAGGATACAATGATAAGCAAAACGAACAGGGAACTTTGATCTCATACGGAATGTAGAATAAGAGGTGTATAAACAACTAAACAGGCAGTTATACTGCAGTGACAAGAATAAAATAACTAAAGTACAAGTTTATTTTATATTGGAAGGGATTTTTTTTTCTTAGTACTTTATTTTACTAAATAACTTCCTTGGAGAAACACAACAAAGGAATACTGTAGTTTGATTCTTTTAGAAAACAATTCCTAAAGAAAAAAGTATTCGAAGGGCTCAGAATTAGGCTTATTTTATCCTGTGTACATACAACATAACCAAGAGACAATTGCATTCTGTGTAAGGGAATCAAATATGTTTGATTAAAATTGTGGCTGTAAGGGGCTGGCCCAGTGGCGCACTGGATGAGTGCGCCGCTTGGGAAGCGCGGCGGCGCTCCCGCCCGAGGGTTCGGATCCCACATACAGACCGGTTCCCGCTCACTGGCTGAGCGAGGCGCGGGAGCGGCACCGAGGGTTGCAATCCCGTTGCCGGTCCCCGGTCCGGTACAGGGGCAACACTGAGGGTTGCGATCCGTTGCCGGACACGGAAAAAGACAAAAGACAAAAAAAAAGAAAAAAAAAAATTGTGGCTGTAAGTGGACTTTATATTTTCATTAAAGCTGATGATTTTGACAGGTTACACAAGTGGATGAAGAAATCGAATGTATTTTATGAATTGTGCTAATATTTTAATTGTGAAAACTGTAGACATGAGATAAAATTCATATCACATTATCATTGACAACATTTATCATAAACCTGTTACTATTTATAACCAACTACAAGCAGCATGACATATATTTGTAAGTTACATATAGTATCATCTGTGGTCGCAGGAATTCAGAAAGGAAAAATGTCTTTATTTCTCTTTTTTTCCAGCTTATCAGTTGCAAAGCTGTCCTGACCCACGCCCGTTTCGAAATGGTTTTGTAATTGGCAATGATTTTACTGTGGGTCAAACCATTTCATTTGAATGTTTCCCAGGATACACATTAATTGGAAATTCAGCTCTCACATGCCTTCATGGAGTCAGTCGTAATTGGAATCATCCACTTCCAAGGTGTGAAGGTATGCTTCTAACTGGAAGCTATCTTTTAGGCGATATCAGCTGTGTTTAATAATTCTTGTTTTGGCACTCTGCCTTGCCTTCCTTTTCTAACCAATAATATGCTAAATATAGAGGCTCTCTATCAGTTGAAAAACCATGTTAAAAAACCAGACAAAAACCATAAGACTTCATAATGAATAACTGATTTTTATTATTGGCAGGAGTCCTGACCTTTCCTATTTGTAGTGAAAATAAAGTTAACACTTTACAACTTCTTTAATATGTGTGCATGTGTGTGTGTGTGTAATAGTCATTCTTATATAAACCAATAATCTAAAAACTGCTACTGAATTTATGTTTCTTTCCTCCAGAAAACCCTTTTACATCAGAGGAGAGAGCTGGGCACCTCTAGTCAGCCCTCCTGAGTCTAATCCCATAGAAAAAAACACGTTTAAATAAAAAGGCCTTGAACCTCTTATAAGGCTATATATACACACACATGCATGATGCGAGGCAAATAGAAGTTAGTGTTTACATTGATATAAAGTATTTTGAAAAACAGAAGGCAATGTTACATACTAATGTAGTGATTGTTAATATTAACTATGTGCCTACCTTATACAGAAAAATGCAAATTGATATACTCCTGCATCGTTGCCATCTGCATTTTATAACTTCAAATCAGATAAAAACACAAAACATGTATTTTTATACTGCTTAAGAGATATGAAAAGTTTGCCTTTTTGCTATAGTCAGGTCATTTTATTTTTGTTTTTGTTTTATTTTTTTTTAACATTTTGTTTTGTGCCTTTTTCTGTAGCTCTTTGTGGTGGCAATATAACTGCAATGAATGGCACCATTTATTCTCCTGGGTACCCTGACGAATATCCTAACTTCCAAGATTGTTTTTGGCTTGTAAGAGTACCCCCTGGGAACGGAATCTACATCAATTTTACTGTCCTTCAAACAGAACCAATCTATGATTTTATTACTGTATGGTAAGCCAGGACCACTGTTATTGATTGATTCAACTATATGTATCCGTGAAACAAGGTAGGACTGAAAATATATCACAATCCTCTGTTACAAATTGCCATCTGATATATGAGTTAGTGTAAGTAACAGGATGACAGTATGTGTTCTGCATCATGCGACAAACCAGACAAATAGGTTTTGGCTTATTTGCCCAATGAAATCGAAAAAAATACCTTCATAGGTGAAAAGAAGATTTAAAGATATTATTAAATTAACGTACAAAAGCAGGGAGTTAAAAGCGTAAGTTTAAAGCAAGAAAGTTCTCCATTTACAAAACTAGTGTAATTTAAGAGCCTATATTCAAACATAACTATTTAACTATTGAATTCCTATCATAACTTATTATATAATATTATAATTATATTATTATTCTGTTAAATGAAACATCTTTATTTAAAATCTATTGTTTAAAATATATTTTAACATCATTATTAAAAATATATTATCAAAAAATCTCCGAATTAATAACTGACAATTGGTTAACAGAAATACTGTATGAATTTTGAGAGTCTTTCTAACTTTTATAGTCTATAATTCTCAAGATTGCTGCTGAAGAAAATAAAAGGGGGGCAAACCTCGAGCACATAGGAGAATCTAAGTTTTAGTCAAAAACCAAATAAAATATATTGATTACAACTTATATGAGTGTATTTCATTTAGGTAAAATTGATTTATTTTTTTATTTTTGTACTTTACATTATTAAATATGTTAGCAAGAATATAGACATAAAATATATCGATATGATTTGCCACAAATAGCTTGTTTAATGTACCGCATATTTATTATTAATATAATATAATAAATATTATAGCATAGTATAGTATATGTAATAATTTTATTAAAGTTGGTGCAAAAGTCTTCCAAAAAATCAATCTCAATATCTCCTCCTTCCCCGCCCCCATCTAATAGGGATGGACCAGACCAAAACTCACCTCAGATCGGTCAGTTCAGTGGCAATACTGCTTTGGAATCAGTCTACAGCACTTCAAATCAGATTCTAATCAAATTCCACAGTGATTTCACAACAAGTGGCTTTTTTGTGCTCAGTTATCACGGTTGGTATTATCTAAGAATTTCTATTTCATTTGGTGCTTCTTAAATTGTCCTGGAAAAATTGAATGTAATATATATTTAACCAATGATTAAAAAGTTATTAAAATTTGACACATTTATCATCACAGTAACTTTAGCATTTCAAATACATTTACTTGCAAAGGATGACCTCTTCTAAGATTTAGGGACATTAAAATGCGAGCAAATGAATATAGGAAATAAATCAGTCAGTAATTACCCAGTGGAAAATAATCATTTTTGCATGGAAACCAATAAAAGAGAACCAGCTGTTCATATCTTACTGCATGTAATTTTAATACATCAATAGATTTTTTTTCTAGACAAAATGTTTATTCAGCCTGCTGTGAATCTTTCTAAAATTAGCATCCAATATCTTTATGCTTTGGATCACATTGCTCATTCATTTATACTCTTGTTTCAAAACTGTATCTATTCTAGAATCTTAGGTTTTAAGTGACTATTCCAGATCATTTGGTTCTTAGCTTTTTCTCCTGTGGTATATTTTATGAAAGTTCTAAATTTTATTATTTGTATAGAATTGTTTTGGGCCCTCTCTTTATAACGTTAACTTTTTGAAAGGACATTCAGTGGATTTTCTTTTCCTTTTTTTAAATTTACTTTTCTTTTAATCCAAATTGATTATATTCCATTGTAAATAAGAAAATGTTTCTTTATAATGATTACATCCTTTTATCTGCTATGGTCGTAGTCCCATAAAAACACCTCATATAATTTTGTCAGACTAATTTCATGAATATTACACAGGATCAATAATCTATTCAATTAAATTTGCAAAAGTTATATGAAAATTTAAAGATAGACATGAGCTTTTTCCATTACATTAATACACAATTTAATGTTTCATCTTTTTTTAATTGAGACATAATTGATATGTACATTTGTGGGATACAGAGTTGATACCTGTGTATGATGTGTAATGACCAAGCCAAGATAATTAGCATATTCATCATTACAAAATCTAATCATTTCTTTGTGTTGACATTTGATCTCCTCTCTTTTTGTAATTTGATAACATATAATGTTTCATCTTTTTAACACAAAGTAATAAAATATTTGATACTCAAAGCTCATATTCTATGATATATACAGTAAGGCAAATGTAATTGTGTTCAAAGATATTTAAAGCACATTGGGTCTAGAAATAGGCAGAGAATTGACCATAAAATATTTGAGTTGCTCAATCTGAGCACTTGTCAGCCAGATAGATGGTATTTAATTAGTGCCTCTATAGGGACCCACAGCCACTGGTGCTGTATGTGCACTCTAGCACAGCCAACTAGAAAGTGGGCTGTCCAGTCAGACAACATTTATTCAGGCTGTTTGTTTTTATAATGCCTTATTTGTTTTTTCTACTAAATTGATTATTGATGCTGGCAATGTGTAGATACAACCTAAGACTGCAATCATAGCAGTATTACTTTGATAGAAAATCATAACTAGGAATCAATAAATAATCATTAAAGTCAAAAGATAAATTAGTCATTGAACTGTATTTTGTACATTTTCTTTCTTCATGAATCCCTGCCAAATTTTATTGTTTTGTGTCCTGCCTGCACAAGTCACAAAGAAGGGACTATTCATTGATGGACTATAAATATCCATAAGATGACTCTATAGGGAGTTTGTAATTATTATAAAATTTAGGGGACATTTTGAAGGGAAAATATTGTCAGAGGAAAAGATGTCCGTGTGTGTGTGTATGTGTGTATTCATATAGAAAATATATGAATGACAGAATATATGCATACATGCAACCAAATTATGAATGCGGATTTACATAGATACATAGTGAGTGTATACATATATTCTCTTCCAAAATTGTCGGGCCTCCCTGAGCCAGAGGCCGACAAAACCGAGCGGGAAGAGACCCCGGTCCAGCCGGGGGTCCCTTGTGGGGCTGAGCGGGATGATGAGTGTCGCTGGCACGGCCCTTCCCCCCCAGGACCTTCCTCCCCGGGGGCCGAGAAAGAACACCACCGAGCCAGGAGAGTGGTCAAAGCCAGAACTCCGTTTATTGAAAAGGCACTGGGGCTTATATAGGGGAATCGGGCGAGGATGGGGTGAAGATGGCGTGAGGGGGTGGGAAGAAGCAGTTGTCCAATTAGAGG